AATTTTCCTTTTTTTCTTTGACCATGAATAACTTTTGTAGCAAACAGGATCGATGGAGATTTTTAAAATTTATTTGTAATGATAAACCCCATGTCTACACCAATATTTGGCTCCTCTTGAATTTTCGTAATTTGACCGCAATTTTTATGTCTAAATTGCCAGTCAATTATATTTTTTACTAGTTTTTGCCCGCGACTTCGTCCGCGTTAGTTTCGTCATTAGTAATATATGTATAGCTGACCAGGCGAACTCTATTCCGTCTTAGAGGCCATAAATAATCAGGTTTTTCCTGTTTCAATCAAACAGAATGATTGACATATTAGTTAGTTGTCAAATCTAATGTCAAAAAAAGCATTTGTATGGGAAATAGAAAAGGGCTGTTTTTAGGGTTTTCCCGGCAATTATTCCAATTTTTCTCACCTTTTATACCTTCCCTGAACCTCCACGAACATTTCAAGACTAATATAAGATAAATCCGTTCAGCTGTTCTCGAGTTTTAGCGAGACTAAGGAACAGCAATCCATTTTTATATATATAGAAGATACGGATAAATTAATAGCAATATCATATTTGCTAATTGGTAAAACTACTTCTACCTAATAAACTCGAAGTCGAATATAGTCTATTCTGCATTTGGATAAAAAATCATTACTTTATTTAATGGATACAGATTCCAAGTAAAGTATAAAATAAGTTTATTTGTTCTTTGATTACTTGCAATTGAATCTATTAAGTTTTCTGGTAGTACCACATATTACTAACAGAAAGCTATGTTTGAAGTTTTTTTTTAAGTTTTATGCCATTATAAGACAAGAATTTATTTATTGAAAGTCCTGAGTTCTAATATTTAAGTAATACTCTGTAAATATTTTTTCATTTGCTTAATAACTAAATCCTCTTATAAATTGTTGACTAAAAAAATGTTTATACAAAAAATGAATATAGATATTAATGCGCTTCTTTTTGATAACACTTTTAATTAATTTTATATTGCACAGTCTTGAAAATTGATATTATATAACCGGTTTTTAGAAATAAATAAATTAATAAAATTTAGCTCCATCATATTTATCAAGAAAAAAACACATTTTATAGTTGAAAGTAATATGATTATGGACAGATATTACAACTAATATATTATTATAATTTATATGTTTGCAAGCGCAATATAATGGATTCCATATTTAAAGACTTGCTGCGATTGAAATGAAACTAATGCTGCTTCGATTGTCTTTTATTAAATACTTTACTTAAGTTTTTGTAACAACCAATCAGAATTTATTCTTTCTTATTCTAAATTGTTCTAAGAATTCAGGTGAATTATTTAAAAGTGAAATCAATACAATATTTATAACTTTTTGTTTTGGCATTACTACACAGTTGAGGAAGTATTAGACTAAAGATAAAGCCTCTGACAGAGCAGCCACCGCTGTAGAACAGGGTTTAATCTCATCTAATCTCTATGGTTCAGTCTATTGTTAGTGAAGTCTCAATAATAAAACTCTCTAAACACTTGAAACTCTCGAACACTTATACCTCTTGGAGTGACCGAGAAAGATGGAATTAGGAAACAAATATCGAGACGACCCTCATACACGCTGAGTACCGTGACATTCTACATATATACTAATTTTATTATTATTTAATTCATTTTATTTTATAATCTTGAAATAAAATATTTTTATTAAACATAAAATTGGATTTATTTGATATACATGTATATATGGAGATCGCGACTAAATCGTTCATATTATAATATGAACGATTTTATGTGTAAAATATTTAACGCTATCAAGATTAGAGATGAGGAATGAAATCAGGTTTGGATTTGGTAGCAGGGGCTATGTTTTAAAACTTAATTTATATGTATTAACTTTTTCACGAAGTTTTTATTTCACAGTATTAAATCTTGAAGTAATTATTTTTGTTTTTGTCTAATATTAGCTTGCAGTTTAACTATAAACTGGTAATAATATTTAAATTTGTGACGTACAATTTCATACTCTTTTGTTTGTGTAAATTTTATATTTTTTTTGTATTTATATTTCCTGTAATACTCGTTTATCGGAAATATTTTAGACTAGCTTTTGCCGCGACTGCGTCCGCGTGGAATAGTGACTTCCGGCAGATTTTTGGTTCTTCCCACATAGTTCCCGTTCTTGCGGGGTTTTCGGAATGGTCGAGTTCCCGTAGAATTGTCAGGATAAAACCTATGTTTTTTTTAAATTCACAATGAAGTACTCTTAACCAACAACATATTTATTTGTTTATTTGAATAAAGATTAATATTATTACGTTGATACAACTTAAACAAATTATTTCGACCAAATTAGGTACCATAAAAACGGTTTTTGTGAGTTAATCTTAATAGATAGACATATACTGTCGCCGGCTGTTTTTTAGATCATTAAAAGAGCTATTATTCTTTAATACATATTTTTTGTGTATCTTGAACCGTTTTCACGGCGCACGCAACGGAAGGCTTCAAAGATGAAATAATTTCTCCCGTTTTTTAAACATTTACCACTATATCTTTGCTCCTATTAGTCGTAGCGTGATGTTATATAGCCCACAGCCTTTCTCGATAACTGGACTATCCAATACAAAAAGAATTATTCAATTCGAACCAGTAGTTTCGGAGATTAGCGCTTTCAAACAAACAAACTCTTCAGCTTTATAATATTAGTATAGATTCTTCTTTTTTGTATACGATACCAAAGTGTCTGTTTTGTTTAAAAAGTTAATTAAATTAATAGCGGGTATGCAATTTATGGATATTTTTATATCGAAAATAAAAACTTTTTCGGATCCTTCCCAGTTTGAATCAAGCATAAAATAAAACATTTGAGAGGCGTAATATATTTTTTTGACAAGTAGTAAAATGGTATTTGTACCATTTCTAGAATTTTTCATGATGTTTTTTTATAAAATAATCTATGAAACCACACTATTTTCAATGTTAAATAAGTTACCAAGTATTAAATCAATTTATGTTCGTATCTCTTTTCTTTATTTAATCCTACAAATAGAAAATGCAAAAGAGGTTTCATTAAGTGCTTATACAGCAGCTTTGTTAAGTCTTTGCTTTTCCATGTTAGCTCCATTATAAATTTCTATCTACTATCTATTTTGTTTCTATAAAATGTTATGTTTCTGGAAATTGTACAAATAGCGAAAGCCTTTTCCGTTTATTAAGGTTGATCAAAATAAATACTTAAGACCTTAATCCTTCGATAAATCGTCTTCAAGGAGCAACGTATTGAGATAAACTCTTGAGACAAAAATAACATTATTATAGCTATTACTGTATCTTAAGCAATTATCTTATTGAGAGATACGTCATTATGATTAGCCTTTAAGAACTAAATCTGAGAGTTGTAGTTCTATGGGCGTAAAGTAAGAAACATTAATATTTTTAATAATTTGTATCATAATTATATACAAATAAAAATTAACTTCGTCTACAGTCGTCTGCGTTATATTAATAACGTTAGTGTGTGTGTGAATTAAAATGGAATTGACATTGTAGTTCATACAGTTTTTACGTAAAGTATTTAAAATTATATATAACATATATTTTCATGACTTCACTTTCTTATTTGCACGCATTTTGTTGGGAAACGGAGATTTTCCTAACATTCAATAAAGGTGATTCTGTTCGAAACATATATTGTCGTTTTTTTTTATACAACTTAGAATGCTATTATAACAATATAAACTCACAATGTATAAGAACTTTAAAATAAAAAACTATACTTATATTTGATTTAGCATTATGCATTTTTTATACATTTTTATACATTAGGTTTAATTTGAATAATAAGTAAGGTATTGTGACTATTTTGTTAGCTCCTAATTTTGCTTTTCCTGTTTACAAACTATTCGTATTATAACAAGTTAAGGTACAACTTCCCATGTGTAGCGAAGTGTGTCAGTGACAAAAACATTGTTATATAATAGATATATGAAGGAGGAAATTTTGAGAGTTTTTTCGTGATAGAATTAATTCATAGTCTACTTCGTTAATTCATTTTAATAAAATTGTCAGTACGACTAATCGTTTATCAGTAAATATCAAAATATAATCTAATATTACACAACATCATTATAGTTTTTCGTAAAGTATTTTATATGTAAAAGTAATTTTATTTAGAATTCCAAGCACGGTTATTACGATGTTCAGTATAAGGTCGCGGGTAAGGGACAACCTTCGACCTTATTGCCTAGCAAAGGCCGGCTATAAATCTGAACTACTCCTTGGCGAGAATTCTGTTTTCTGTCCGATAACTACCCTAACAACAATTCCGATTAAATGTTATTAACATATTTCGTTGAATAAACGAGTTTTAGAATTCCACTAGTTTAGCATTTATTTTTCAAGATTAACCCTTTCATAGTCATCAATATCATTGGTCAGTTTCACACAAACCTTTCATAGCGTGGTTGTAAAGTACATACGCATAGGTAAATAATTATCATGTATTATTAAAAATTTCTATTAGTTTAGATCCGGTTGTTACTATTACTTTTTTACATCAGAGTAATCTTAATCATAATAAAATAACCCTCATAAATCATAAACATTTTAATAATACCATTCGAAGGAATATCTTCAAAACCGGCACTTATTTGTACCTAAAAAAGTTAATTCACCAGCATTTGTTACGGGTTAGTAGTCATTATGATTGTAGTTTAATTATGTTAGAAATAGTTTTTAAAGTAACACAAATTAATAGTCAAAGAATTTAAATTATACTTAATTTTTTTACAGAGTTATATAAAAATATTTGATATAAATCCCCCGAGATGTTCATTGAAATTATAGTTTTAAGACAACTAATAAACTATGTATCTTAGCATAGTGTAGAAGTTCTTTTTAATTGTGTCTATAAAGGCCATAAAACTGTTTTATATAATATAGTTTGTGGGGAAATAGAAAGACTAATGGTGAAAGAAATTTATCAAGATAATTTGATTTGAGTAATGTTTTCTTTGAACAGATGACGTTGTCGATGTGGTGTAGTCGTCGTGACAGTACCAGGTTGGAGAGGACTTACAGTGCTCTATTGGCTCAGAGGCAACGAGCTGCTCCAAGGGCTGTTCAGCGACCACGACTTCTGAGACGTCTCTCGACTGCGTCATCACAACTGTGCGTTGCGCCGCCCCGAGCGCAGGTTAGGTCAGGAAGTAATTTTCAGTTTTTTTGTTTGAGTTCGATATCTTTTTCATTTAATTTTCTCTTGTGTTTAATTCTTTGGGTATTATTTTCTACGAAATATTAAGAATATCTGATTATTGTGAAGATTTCGTATTCTAATTAACTGCTTGTTGTAATCAAGCAGGGAGTTGGTTTTCTTTTGTAATTTCCGTTTTTTGTTTACAAAATAAAGAGATACAAAATAAGTATTTGTTGATGTTAATAAAATTATATTTTTTAAATATGTACTCGTATATGAGTTCTAGGGTTCGAAAAAAAGACATACATACATGTGTAATAAATAAATTATCATAAAAATGAGAATTATAAAAAAAAATGCACTTATAAGGTTGCAGGTTTTGACGTTGAAATTTCAGAAATACCAGAAATATTTCTCATTAAAATAAAGTCCATTAGTTAGTTGGCTTCTCGGTTAAGTTACAAATGATATCATTGCCACTGAGGATACTCGGTTTTATTTTATTTTCTACATATTATAATTAATAAACTCTAAAAAAATCAATAAAATGTAGATCGTTAGTTTAAATTAATAATATTCAATTATAATCAATAACTTTAACAACTACTGGTCAACTGAATCGCTACTAATTACTGTAGTATTTGTTCCATCCTTTACTCAAATAAAACTTAAGTGTTCTATATGCTTATCCCAAGTGGACCTCGTCACACTGCAACATACGAAGAATTAGTAGTTTGTCACTTATATGTAGATCTCCGCACATACGAAATATTAACATATATTGTTGAATGAGAAACGCTACGTGTAATGAAGAAGTAAACTTATGCTATGACAACAGTTTTATAATCCCGAATATTTAGGATTATAAAGTTCTTAAGTAGTTATTAGTTTCCTGTGATATCATATTTGAAGTGCAAGCTAAATTGCTACATATTTTATTAATTTTATTTTTTTTTAAATCTTTCTTCCTTAGAAATCGTTCAAAATACCTAGTTACAATATTTTAAATAAATATTTCATCACTCTCTTCTTTTATGAATTGACGACTGATTGAATGTCAAGTCAACGAGTGTCTGTTTCTATATTAATTTGGGTAAAGAATATAAGATATTGCCAAGTAATTTCAACATTTCTACGATTGAATAATTCTTTCAGAATTCACTAAACGAAAATATGTACGAGGAAAATGTTTTTACTTATTATTATTGAGGAAGTAAGAAATTGGGCGATGAATGAATTATGTAAATGATTAACCTTCAACTATGTTGCTCTAAATTCATTAGAATACCAATAAACGAAATTTTATTCCACAACAATTTTATTAAATTACAATATAAAAATAAATTAAAAAAATACTTTCCGTTTCCTATGCATGTATGCATTCATCTTTTTTTTACGTCCTTGACATTTGATTTGTATTTGACTTTAAATTTCGCAATAGTTTTTATTGTTACGTAAGTTTTAAATGCATTAGAATTATATTATAACTTTTTTCACATCGTATTTTACAAGTGGCGCCAACTGTGTTGTACTAATTATAGTATAGCGTAATCCATACACCCAGTTTGACAAAACAATGTTAAATAAATGATGTCTTGATATGGTGTTTGATGGACTGTTACATTTATCAAGCGTCCCACCACGCGCTAATGTATGTTTAAATTTCTTAACAAGACATTCATATTAATTCCTGCTTTATAGGTATCTCAAATGGCTGACGGACTGTTAGTCTATTGTATTGTCAAAACTCAAATGTCAATTCCCACCCCTGTTTTTAGCCAGAGTAACGCAATATTTGACATTGCAAATTAGGTACTATTTTTTTTACCACCTTCAATAGAATTAGTGCCAATTTTACAACACGATTTTGACAGGTTACACCTATTAAACTAAAAAGAAAGGTTTTTGTATGCCAAATTTATGCAACCAACGATATATAAAATTTTGTCGTATAAGCTAACAAGTAACGTATCGAGGGATATAATATACGATCATGGTATAAAATGGTGCATCGCAGCAAACAGGTCTTGTTTAATGTGATTACTTAAATTTGATCGTCCTATAATAAGAACAAGTAATTGGGTAGTCGGTCGTGAAATGTCTCATTTAATAATACATCGTTAATTTTTCATCGTGGGACGTAAATATTTTGACAGACAATTATATTTTTGGAGGTTCGTTAGTAAATACCTCACTAAGATTTAACTGAGTTTGGTAAAACTGGATCTCAGAATTATTCTTGTGACTGATTATAAATAATTATAATACAAAACCATTGTAATTTTATAATAGAAACATGTAAGAATCAAGTTGTATTTGAAAACTATAAATACTGGCCTCAGTCGTTTCGTAGGACATTACTAGAAGTAATGCTGAACATTAAAAATCAAAACTGAAACTGCACCTTAAATACGAATTTATTGAATAAGATTATTTTTATTTTAATTACATTTTTATTTAATTTAATATAACATTAATAGTTTACGTCACGTGACTACGTAATGAATATAATTGTTACGTTTTGATCTCGTAGTATTAACACAGTTAGGGTTAAATTATAAACTAATTTATTATTTAGTTATTTCTGAAAATCGACCTACATTCTTATACAGTTTCATTAAAATCTGTTCAGTAGTTTTTCCGCGACGCTACAACCATCAATACGTTTTCACATTTCTCGCTCATAATATTAGATCGAGTAATAAAATATAATAAATCTGAATTACATGTTTATACATAAATATTTATGGTTACTCAAGTTTTAATAAATAGATATTATTTCCGTCCAGGCAGTTATTAAAACACAGTTGATGACTAGGAGTAGGAGTTTCATAGTAATTAACTATTATGTATAAACAGATGTTTCAAATTAATCTAGAATTGATGTCATATATAACGTCAGTCTCCTTTATAATAACAACTACCAAAAATTTTGTACTAGTATAAAAATACCTCCTAATAATCTTCTTCTATCTGGCAATTTCCCAGCTTTAGCCAGGGTTGGCCTTACATGTTGTGAATAGTTTTGGCTAATTACTTTTACGACCGGCCGCCTGCCTGACATCAACTCTCTTAGGGAATGCATTAACCAGTGATGTCTAAATACTCTTAGAAAGTACATACGACTCGGAAAAACCACATTGATACTTTCCAGGATCAAACCCACGCCCTCATGCATTAGAGGCGGGTCTTTTAACCACTAGGCCACCACTGACTGTATTAATATACATACTCGTATGTATGTGTATTTTTCGGCTACTGACTTACTCCGTTATGGAAAAAACTGGGCTAATTAAAATCATTTAACACATTTCAGACAACAAACAACAAGTAGTGTCTTCAACATTTTGATTTATTTTTAATTCTTCAAATATGAACAGTTTACATTTGAAATAATAAAGTTAAACTGTCTATCAAACTAGTCTTCATTTAGAAGCATTAACTTTGAGTCTCGTCGTAGATCAAAATTATGTATATGAAAATATGAACAGTTGAATATAACAAGGGTAAAAATAATATGTAATATCATTTTAATTTACGATATTGTCCTTCATCTATAATGTTCGGGATGGAATAAATAATAGGAGACGAAGGAAAACTTTCTAAATATTGAAAATATCAATGAACTTCGAAGGTTTTATTTTAACCATTTGAAATATTAATTTGAAAATAGTATTAATATCATTTAATGAAGAAATAAAAGATATGCGAGTATTAGCTTTATTTTTAAATAAAAATTCTTGTGTGGTTTTATCAAGTAAAGATAGTATTTATCTTTTCTATAAATCTTAAATATTTCACGAGATCATTTTGATACGATTTGAGGTATTAAAATTCTTGTAATTTTAAATTTAATCTTAACAAAGGATCATATGTAATCAATACAAGATGTACAAGAATAAATTAAAATTATAATTTACATACTTTAATACAACCATTTAAATTATAAACTCATATAAAACAAAACGTTTGTTCAAATCACGTTACAAAACAGACATTCAGTGTGGCACCTCGGCTAACATAATACATAAACATAAAAAGAAATATAGTACATATCAGATGAGGTGAAAATAGATATATTGTAGTAAAAATGTCACTTAAAAATATTATAATTGTAAATACACTACATATAACATTTTAATCATTATTACTTGAAATAAATATTCAATTAAAGTGTATCTAATTCATATAACTTATCCGACCATTTCAACAAGTACTGGCCTTGACTGACATCTTTAAACATAATATAATTTTAATACATTCTTTTAATTATGAATATTTCATAGTTATGTTATCTTGACCGTATTATTAGGTTTTTACAGAATACTTTGTGTTGATATAAATTGTTTAAGCTATATCATTTCTTTCTTTGAAATTAATATTACTATATTCTATAAGTTGCAGTTTCGTATTCTGCTTGTCCCTTTGAATGTTTAAATTTTGATTTGAATCTTTCAATAATATTGATATTAAATTATTATCCAAAATAAGTTTATTTATTAGGCTTATGTTCATTAAATATGTATTTATTCCCTAAAGTAAAGGATAATATAATTTAGTTGAATAACAAATAATAACATTAAGGTAAACATGTATGCAATTTAGATATACAAATACATTTGTGGTGTGTTTAATCTCATTATACATGGATTTGATGTATAGAGTTGTATTATGTTATATTGATAAATGAATTAGAAACGCAGAGTAGCATTAATAGACTAGTAATAATCTGCCGTATAATTATTATTGAATATCTAAAAATAAAACATCACTTATATTTTCACTTTATACTTTCAAAATGCAAAGATCTAGCAAGATAAAACTGTTCATAATTTCTTAAATGCTTATAATTAAATAGTTGCGAGGGTTGTAAAATAATGTTGTTATGTATGTTTTGTTAACAGTCTATCAACAGAAGAAATCTCTCCGTCGTAGATGAGGAAATAGAATCTCATTGGCTCTGGAAGCAGAGGATGACAGATGCCTCGGATTCCTTAACGTCGCCGAGAAGCATTTCCAACTCCAGTCTCCACGAGTTAGATCCTGAACTCAGCGGCGAAGAACTGGCGACTTACCTGTACCAAGTGAATTGTAATATTGGAGGGAAAACCTGAGATACGTCTGTTTAGGGTTGTCGCGACCCTAAACGTAAGGTAACAGACGACTGGCAAATGTAAAAAAAGTACATTCATATTTCGTGGACGGACGTATAATGATATAAAATCCTTAATTTAACTTCTCAAAAGTACTGGGAAGTTCGTATAAATTTGTTAGATATCGTATTATTTGTTTTGTATACAGCAGGAAATTTTCAACATTTACGTAAAGCGAACGACTGTTGTGTCGGATTGATTTATATGAAGGTAATAATTTTTACGCCTATCAAAGTTTTTCAAAGGCAGTGTAAGCGTATGCAGTATACTGTTGAACTGACTGGACGAAACGCAACGATTTACAATATATTTAAACTAAATATTTTCATTATCATTTTAAATTGTGACGTACGAAATTATTGGACTCGTTTGATGTGATGAATTGTATATATTATAATATTTGTATTGCTATGTAAATAAAAATGTGTTTTTATTCAGGTTTAACCTGTAAATATGTACATATATAAACGTATAGGTTAATAGCTCTGTGAAAGATAATTCTACAGTTATGTTAGAATAGATTAATTATTATCATATTGAATGGTCTCAGAACAACTAAAGCCAGTTTTTTTTATTATGATCTGTTACGAGTTTAGTTCTCCACGAACATTATTAATTAACGTGTTCAAAATTACGCACATGAAATCATTTCAAAAAATAACTGTTTGAATGTTAACCCTTGTTGTTAACCAAAACCAATTTCAAAACCGTCCGAATTTAGATGGCCAATCGAATTGTTATGAAAAAAAATTATAAGGATAATAGAAAAAGTTAGTTTGAGTAAGAAATCCTAAGGATGTACCTAGTTTATTTAAATCAGACTAATAATTACTAAATACATAAAAAAATGGTAAAACTTATTTTATGCATATCTGTGAAGGAAAAGAAAAAAATATTCTTACAAAATTGTGCGAAATTCTGAGAAAGAAATTTCATAAATCAAGTCAATATACTTTCCATTCCTATTTTCTGGAAACTGGCAGTCGCAGAAATGCACAAGTCATATTCAATACTTCGTGTTGCTGCATTATATTGAGTTTGAAATTGGTTTACCAATTTTTATTATATACGGTTTCACTGAAGATTATTCGTGCTTCTATTAATTATCTTTCTTATAGTCATTTTTATATATCAAGGTGTATATTTACAATTAAATTTTACACGTAATAAAAACGATTGTAAAATATTAAAAATGTATAGGTATTGTGTTATTTGCTGTGAAGTTTTGATGTTAAAATATATGAACAATAGATAGGAGTACTTGTATTAATATGTAAATATTATACTGTTTTGTAATAAAATAACCTTGTAAAATTGTTAAGGGAAGCTATGATCGAGATTTGTGAGATTATTATGAGCATATTACGAGTATGAGAACTTCTTAGAAAATAACTCTTCATGTAACAAAGCCTGTAATTTAAGACTATAGAATAATCAGATATTTGTTGATTTTCCTGCTGAAAATTTTATTCAGTGAGTGGAAACCTTTACGAGACTTGGTTATATATATAGTACATTTAAATAATTTCATTTATTATACAATATATAAAAACTTGTATCAGAAATAAAATCAAAATCATGTTTTAGCTTGTCTCAAAGTTAAAATTTTCTTTGATATTGTTTTTGCATATTATAATTTTTAAGTCACAAATTACGATTTGGCTATAAAAATGTTGTCTTTTAAATAACTTACTAAAATATTAACAACTTTTCACTGGCCGGGATTTTTGCAAGACTATAAATTACGTCCATAGATAAAAAAAAACTTGTTTGAAATTTTCTTTAAATAGACTTGAAGAATAAAATGTTTAAGCTTTAATAATGCGACTGAAAAAAATAGTGTGAAAGTTAGAAATAACTGTTTTTTTGAATCTAGATGTATTTTTATCCTATAATATATATATTATTTAGTAGAATTGTTTATATTTGTTCTGATTCATTCATCTATTTTGGTGTCAATGTACGCTATCTCTTTACATATTCTGTGCTTGAAAAGGTTTATTTGACTGATGTGTTCAAAGGCTGTTTAGGTGTTATTAATTTATATCCTCTTAATGTATATTGTACATATTATATTATTAAAGCTTTAGTCAAAAATAATGTATTATACTTAAATACTTCTTCGTAATAGAGAAGTAAATTAAAAGAGGTCTATGTATGTTTACGCTATTGTGATGGTTAAATAAACTTGATGGTTGAAATTATATGTTTCTTTTAATTCAAACCTTGGACTGAATTAAATTCATATAAACGGACATTTTGTACTAAACTATGTCTTTGTTATCTTAATCTCAAGAGTTAATTTAGGTGTGTTATAACTAAACCCATGTACGATGTTCTCACCTTCAAAGTTTTCATAACAAAGACACTACAACAAATGTTGTTAAATTCATTAATCCCTAGCACGTTAATTCAAATATGCGGTGTCACTTAATCCTGTTATATCCAGTTTCTCCATCATTCAAACTAGTTGTTTATGGGATACACCGTGACGTAGTTAATAATCGCAGGCCTAGCGGCTATGGCGCCCTATGAATTAATACCCCGCATAAATAATGCTCTATGTATCGTTTAAACTTGTCAAAGATAAGTACTATCGATAAATTATTTGAAATGAAACAAAATATTTACTTTTTTAAAACGTTTCCTTAAATTAATTTTAGACTAATAGAGACTCGTTTTGTTTTTATTCAATGTTAAACCAGTGATAAGTTTCAAACAAAATGAATTCAGGATAACTACTGGTAGATAAATATTAATAAATGTTTTTACTTTTACGTTCGCTTCTACATTTCTATGAAGAGATTTCATTAGTTCAGCCTTATCGTAGTTCTGTTTGCTCCATTAAACACAACTTCTGTTATAGAGTTAATATGAGAAAGTTCTAATTGCTATATCCTATTTATTTACGGAAAATTGTAGGAAACGGCAAACAATATCTTTTGTATATTCTATGACGCGATATAAGATTAGTTCTCTATCGTGTGTAAAAATACTTGGCGAAACTGTTATGGTAATAAAAATTTACATGATTATGATTATATGTGTTATCCAGATATCTGAAACGAGTATAACGACAGTTTTAAGAAAAAACAAAGACATATATCCCAGTTCTTGCTTAAAGATAACCTAATATTTATTTTTTCCAACTCATTATCCAAACTGTAATATCGTCTCTAAATTTGAAGTTTGTTCAATGAAATTTTCTATTTCATTTGATGTGATAACAGTAGCTTAATTTGCAGTAACCAATTTTATTGTAGAATGGATTAGTAGAGAAACTTAGACACTACAGTTTTTCAATACCACAAACATTGTACCGATAAAATTTGAAATATGTGTTAAACAAAAATTTTAGAAATTAGAGCCTACTTTGTTTTTGTTTTGGTCTAAATCCTTTAATTTTTTTTTTATATTTTAGGTTTACTGGCAACAATTTTATTGTTTGAATATGTTTCGAACTACTTTTTCTTCCAAACGTTTTATTATAAGTAACAAGATTAATTGTACTTCAGAAAATACACATATTGTTTGATCTCTTTGTACTAAATATATGAACACAACCGTGTGCTGTTAGTCTTTCATACAATTACCTGCGAATAATAGTATTATTGGACGAGATGGCATCTATTGTGATAAACGGTCTTTATTAACATCCCTTGATGTACATTGTCTTCAAAACTAGGCCAATAAAAAACAAAATAGAATTATTAAAGAAATAAATGTTGGATTAGTTTAAATGATGTGAGTTATGAAACAGAAGGGAATAATTTTCCCAAATTATAATACTTATGTAACAATAAAAGAAGAAACAATAGCATAAGAAAGAGATATGGAGATGAAAAAATCACATTCTACAAAAAGTATGTAGTGAATGTATTATTTAGACGGCATTATAAAAAAGGGATGTATGTATTTTGAAAAATATCTGAAATTTATGTCGTTATAAAATTAAATTAACAGACGATACTTCTCCTATTTCCATGGATTCACCGTGCAGGTGTCGGGTCCATCGCGTTCCAAGGATAGGAGATTCAATATTGCCTGGGACTTGCGACTCAGGTGTAGGTTTAAAGGGCCCCATTTAACGGGCGTTAAACGCTCACCTCCACCGTGCAAGCTCCTCTCTCTACCTAAATTAAGATCAAATTTTACCAAGTAAAATATTGTACCGGAATTTTTAGGGTATTATAAAGAAAAAAATTATAGTAACGCTCGGGAAAAGTGCTCGTAAGCATTAGTGAAACAATAATAAAGATATTGAAAAATAAATAAGAGCATTTAATCGTGACATAATTGAACATAGATATCGCTGAGTCATATTTATTTGGACATGATTATTTCATAATATCACGACCAATTCCAATTATATTTGACAATATAGAAAATGTGGAATCTTCATAATTTGACGTATAAGATATACTGTGTATAAATGTATATCTGAAAATTATGTTTGTGTGTTTAAAGAGTATTTTAATAATTTATTGTATCACTTTCATTTACTATACAAAAAAAAATCTTTATATACATTTTTTCCATATTAACCTTGGCTGTGCTAAATTCCATGTTCATCCGCTTTCACAATTTTCATAAAAAGTTATATGATGTTTTCGCTGCACGTATCTCTATTATGATTAGAGTACGGCCGCTCGAAGTTTGCTTTTCTAATATTTCAAGATCGAATGGGCAATGTGACTTTGAACTATCAAAACAATTACTTCAAAATTTAAGTATCTTTTATTAAACTAAAATATGAATGACAACAATTAAATTAAATAATTGTGCGAACTGACGATAAAACTATTGTTTTTAAGTTGTGAATTTTTAAACGTATTTAGGGTTATTGTTGTCATGTGAAAATAAACGAAGTATTTGGATTTTTTGTGATCTGTATATGAATCCGTTTAACATAAAATAAATTGTTATAAAATATATTTAGTATTTAATAAAGTTAATGTTGT